CGGGTCCCGGTGCTGCGGCTCGGCCCCCGCCCAGCCAGCGCGGGCTGATCCTGTGCAAACGGCGCTGCCGTAGCCCCGGTGTTCCTCCCCGCTGTTTTGCTTTCTTCCCGCGGTCCCGAGCCGCCTTGTTGCCGCCGGGCCCGGAGGTCCCTGTCTTGCCCGTTCCCGCTTCCCCGGCCGCGGCCGGGCCGCCGAGGCCTCCTCCCGCCCGAAAGAGGAGGGACCCCGCGTCCTTTTGTGCGAGGTGCGCGGTCTCTCCCGGCTCAGGAGAGAGACCACTGGGGAGGTCCGGCCGTCGTTATTAAACCATTGAAAGTCATCGATCGTGCAGCTGAAGGCTTCGAACGAGCTGCTGTGGCTTTGTAACCTCGTTAGGCCTATGTATTCCGTCTGATGGCTGCGGGTTTTCATGTACACGTGTGACAGGTCCCTTCCATTTTCAGTGTTTTTGTGGTTTTGTTTTTGTTTTGTTTTTTTTTAGTAATGATCAAGGCAAGCAAGAACTAGTAGCTGCTTGAAACAGGAACGAAATGTGTGCTCCTCCATCGCAATTTACTTTTTTTTTTTTTTTTTAATTTGCAGAGGTTTTCTTTTTGTTTGTGCTTTTAAGAGATTCTTTAGAGGAACACCTGAGCATCCTCATGGTGGCTCTCTCTGATGATCCAGTGACAGCAGCTTTGCAGTACATATGTAGTTACTGTCTGGGGAAACAAGCAATAAAATCTTGAAAGAATGGCATTACCTTCCAAAAATTTATTTTACATGACTATTGTTGCCATTTTTGTGGTGATTAAAAAACGAATTCATAGGCTGCAAGTTCTTTACCTACCTATGCAATAACTGCTGCTGCTTCTTTGAGTGAGGTAAACAAAATCTGCTCTTGTGTTGATTGCTTGGACAAAAGGTGGTTGCGTAGCTAAGCAATACTGGGGTAAATAAACAGATCTCTGCAGGGGAAACAACTAAGTCTCAGCAACTTAAGCAATGAGTATGCTTGGGTTTGGTGGTTTTTTTCTCTTTTTTTAGGATAATGTTAATCTCCCATTTTACAGTCAAGATTTATATTAAAGATTATTTTCTTGTCTGTATTCACCGTGTGGGTAATTGTTAGGAAAGAAATTAGGTTGTCAGAACATTGGTATTGGGATCTTTGATGGATCTGTTGTTTATGTTACAAAGCTGTTACAGCTCTGTACTTCCAGTATTTCTGCACACTACCGCCTGCCAAACGTAGAAGTAAAATGTTTTGAGAGTACCTGAAGTCTGAAAAGTCCTGCAGTACCAGTTTCTGTGACTTCGGCTTATCAGTTGTTCTTTTTTTTTTGTGATGGAAAATTTACCTGTTGGAAAGAACTGCTGACTGTGTTTAGTCTTCATTTGGAAAACTACTTTTGTTTTTGCTCCCTGCACTGAAATTTCTCAATCGATATGGCATAACTGAGCATAATGGCAGGTACTTCATAGATTTCTAGTTGAGGATTTTGTAGTTCTACTGAAGAACATTTGTAAGCCTTTTTTTTTTTTTTTTTTTTTTTTTCCATCTTCAGTAATACTGCTTTGTTGTGATGGCACTAAATTTTTCGAAATAAGAAATTATATTTCAGACTAATGTTTTATTTTTCATTTTCAAATGAAAGTGCACACAAACATAAAATTAAGTACATGTAATTTTGAAGCTGTGGTGTTCAGTCTGCTATTCCCAAATGGATAGGACTCTATCACGCACTGAATGTCCTGATGTTTGCTACATCCCGGCACGGAGCACTGAAAGTAAAGCAGAAGTTTTCACTGGGAGAAAGAACTGCAGAATCTGGAAGAAAGTTTGTAAAGAACCTGTTTTTGTGGAATTAGGCACAAATAACAATTCTGAGTACCCTTTCAGTTCTTCCACCCCCTCTCAGTTTAAGTGCTAATTAGTGTGATGTGCTTTTAAAAACTGAATGCTAAAGGAGTAAGGGAGTTTTTAGTTTAAGGCCTTTTATATTTGTGTAGATGCTTATTGTCCTAAAAGCGCTTCAGCGAAAGTTGAGGATGAGCATCATTTTTTTAAATGCTAATTTTATCAACAGTAAGATACTGTGTGTGCTTTGTCTCTAATTTATGATTTTAAAATCATATTAACTAATCTGAACAGGAAATTAATAATTATGGAAATAACTTCCCAATGAAATACCTTAGTTTGCACTTTCAAAAACTTCCATTTCTAAAGTATTGCATAAAATCACTGTAGGGCCTTTCCTTCTTGAGCTCATTCCTTTGCACTTTTTTTAAAAGCAAATGTTAATAGAATATGCTCGGAGTAATCAATATCTGTCTGCTCTGTTTTTGTGTCATTTTGTTTCAACTTAAGCAAGCTCTCTATTAAGAATGTGGCTGATTGAACAGAAGAAAGCCCCCTCCTCAAGCATGATGATTTAATGGAAAGAAATTGACAGAAGAATTAAAAATATAGTAGATGTGCTAGAGCTAAGTTTCTAGACATTAAGAATAAAAAATATATTAAATTGTGCTTCTTATCTAGTGACTTGGTTTTGCAAACATGAAAGTATTTTGTCATCATTGAAAGATTTTTGTGAGCAGATTAGACAAATGAGGCCTTTTTTATCTTTTATTTCTGTCAGATAGCAGGCAACACTTACTTCCTTTCATATTTTTTGTTATTTTTTATAGGCTATTATTTATTTCGTGTTCAGTCTGTGGTGCAATATTCTGTTTCCCAGAGCAATGGACAAAAGGGAGTCTGAACAGACGTGCACTTCAGTAGCTCAACTTGATACTTTGACTTTTTTTTTTTTTTTTTTTTTTTGAGCTTCTGGTAACATTTAATTTCTGCAATCTTAACCGTTTTGTCATTTTCCACCAGTATTAATATGTTGTTTTGTCTAAATAGGCAAAAACTTTTATCAGAACAAAGGCAAAATTCCATTTTACAACTCTATATTTGTTATTTTCATTCTAAATGATCCTGCACTATGCAGGATCTTACAGTGACATAAATAGTATAATCTAATGAAACATTTCAATAAATGGACTTTCAAATGGATTTTGCACAAGGCCCATCTTTTTGAAGGAAATACGTATATTTCATAGGTACACAAGTTGGTTTTGGGTTAGTTTAGCTGTGCAAGTGCCTTATATTTGCTTCATGAAATTTGGATGCAAAATACTTAAACAAGTATGGAATTACCTAACTGATGAACTTTAAATTGATTTCTTTGGCAGTAAAAACCCCAGCGGTGTCAGGGTCGGGCTTGCTTAGCTCTTGCATCTCTCCTGCAGTGGCAGTCTGCCACCTCTACAGAAAAGAAGGAATGTTGCTTCCCACACCTTTTCAAACACAAGCACAATGGACTGCTAATGCTCAGGGATTCTGCACTTACTTGGAGGGTGCTCTGATCACCCTGCAGTGTTTAATGACCAGTGTGGGAGTTTTTCTGGAAGTCAAATTTTTATTTTTTGTTGCTTTAATCAAACTTAATATATTCAGCGTTGTTCTGGACCTTGTCAGCTGGGAGGACTGCTCCTTTTGAACACAAATTCTCTTTACTGTCTTCCATGTGTGATAGAGGAATGACTACAGAACTCTTCCTTCAGTGAGAAGATTAACTTGTAATTCCAAATAGTTTATTGTTGAAGCTTCTTTTTTTCCTTTGTTTTCATAAGGGGGATCATTGAGGAAGACATAGTTTGCTTGTGTTAGTAGCTTTTAAAATACCCATGTCTTCAAGGTAACAATTTATGTGATACTTTTTATACAACAGCTTATTATGTGTACTATTGTAACATTTATAGAAGAGTAGCTAATTAAGGGATTCATTTTATTTTTAGTATAGGGACGGAACACAGTATTAAGCAAAAAGGATTTAACTTCTCTTGTGAGTCTCAAGGAAAGTTGATAGATTGCTGCCAAAGTGTGATCTTGTCCTCATAAGTGAGATGTCAGTAGCTTAACAGTTTTATCCAGCAAATGTGGGCTGCTGCTAAATTCATGTTTCTTTTTTGACTGCTTATATTTTTCTGTCCCTTTTTAATACAGTTCGACTTCATTTTTGTTTGGTTGTTTGTTTTTTTTTTGGTTTGGGTAGGATTTTTTAACAGGATTTTTGGAAATGGTCTTGCAAGACCATTTATCCCGGCCTTTTTTTCACCCCAGATCAAATTAATTTCACCTGAAATTTCTGTGGCTTAATGGTTTGGGTATTTTTTTTCATTTCCCTTGCTTTGCTATAGAAAGTTTAATTTAACTTTACATTGTTATTTTTCATTTAGCATCTCACTTTAAATTTTGATAGCCTTTCAGTCATACTCTGAAATTGTAAGGTGAGTTAGGTAAAGGCATGACAAGTTCAGGACAGAAGAGCAGTCTGAAAAACAGGGGGTTGGTTTGATGGGAATATTGGTTGGTTGGTCAGTTTGTTTTGTTGTGTTTCCCCCTCCATGTTCTTTGTTAAATAGGATTTTTTTTGAAAAAATTCAAGGAATTTAAGTGTTAGATGGAACTTTTGGATCAGTTAAACGGTTTGGATGAAATACATGGACTGACTGATGCCTGGCTCAAATGGATCATTAACACTGTTGATAGTTGTTCAGTGTCTGGGTTTGTATGATTGTGGAGTAATGGGAGAGGAGGAGAGATCTTTTCCATATCACTTTGGTTTGTAACTCTTCCTGGGAAGAAAGAAGGTAACAAGGATAAGAAATTCTCATCGGTGCTTTCTTTAAATGCTTCTAGCTGTGCATTTTATCCAGAGAATCAGTAAGTTGAAACCTTAGATTTTGTGTTTTATCTATGATTTTGTATCTAAGTTGTAATTCTTGGTGAATCATTAGTTCCCTTTCCTGGTGTGTTTTGAGGAAACCACTACATCTGACTCTGAAGATGCACAAGATGCATCTGAAGATGCACTCAAGAAGCACACTGTTACAATCAGTTGGGTTTTTTGGTATTTGTGTGGGGAGGGAAGGGTGTATGTTTTTTATGTGGGTGGGTGGGTGTTTTGGGGAGAGGTGTTTGCTGGCAAAAGTATTATTGGCAGATGCAGGATTTGTTGTGAAAGGGAAGTTTGATCTGAAGAATATTACAAAGCTCTGTTTCTTTTCCTGCAGGCTCTAGTGACAGCAAATATAGATAGTTTGAAATGGGGATAGTGAATTATCTGCCTACAAGTTTGTAAAGATGAAAGTAGTGACTGGACAGCTGCATAATGAAGCCCAAGGCATTAAGATAGGTACTGTTTAGTTGGAAGCTGGTGGGATGAGGAGCTGAGTTTAAGCTGAGTCTGGTCTCTGGCCCTTAAATGTCTGGGGATCTTCAAAACAGGAAGATAAAGTTCTGAGGATCCAAAGTGCAATTTTAGTCTTTCCTCTTCCACTAAAAAATATTTAGTTTTTGTGGTAAGAACAGCTGAGAATGCATAGGTTGCTTTAAGACCGGTACAAAATTGAGGTATTTTAGTGCTTTGGGGTAATAGAGTTGTCTGGTTTCTTACATTAGAGATGATACACTAAGAATGTTGAATACTTCTGTCATACATATTGCAGAATGGATATAAATAGTTTATGAAGAACAATTGCGTTGGTCTATGGTGTGGACTAATATACAGCTCGCTAATTGTTTAATTATAGTGGGAAGTAGAGGAGAAAAATTCTTTGAAGTTTCCCCTTATATCTCCTTGAATCCCTTAATCCCTGCCTGTAGTCTTGTTGATGCAGATACTACTAGGTACTTTTTCAGCATCAATCCTTAAGTCCTTAAACTTTTGCAGGTTATTGTGATCCCCTTAGTCTCTTTTAGAAGGAAGCATTGTAGGAGTTATAACTAGGTGAACTATGCTGCATCAGAAGATGAGATGTACTTGCTTGCCAATGCCAATGTGCAACTGCTATCAGGTAATCTCTCTTCAGCTGCAGTTTACACCTACAATTACTTGGTTGAGGAAGTTTGAAATCTCTAAAATTTGCATGGTCCCGTCTGTCACTGCAGTTTTCAAGTTGTATGTTTGTAAATACAGCCCCTAAAGGTCTTAAACAGATATTTCCAAAAGGACTTAACCCATATTATATTATATTTACTTTTGTCAACTTTATACAGATTTGGTGTCTTAGCTGATATTATTAAAGGCTCTGTGGGTGGTATTGTAAGATACTTCACTTGAATAACTAAGAACTAAACTGACTTCAACATTGTATGGGAGCAATTTGGTCCATGGTATTTTTGGCATCTCCCAATACTTCTAGATTTTGCAGGATCAGGAGGGTGGGGGTGGGGAGGTTGCCTTTGTTCAAGTTTCCAGAGTTCTTGTTCAGGAATTGATCCTTCAGATGTAAAAAGTATGGACAATGCAGTATCCTTATGAAGGAAGAGTGTCTGAGGAGGGTGAATTCTTTGTCTTTTTACAGGTGTTTTCTAAATCTGATGTCACTTTGAATGTTTTTCTTTATTACTGATGATTTTTACTAGGGAGAGAAATATAAATAGTTCCCAGAGAAATTGGCAATTGTTGCAAGGGATGAGTTATAAAAAGAAGAATTTAGGAGGCTGTCAAACATTGAACAGTACAAAGACAGAGGCGAGGTGATAAAAAAATTGTGTTAGTGATTATAAGATAAATGTTTCTTTATTGTAAACAGTGGATTTCAAACGTCAAAACAACCAATTGGTAATATTTAAAGGCATGTACATAATTTATTTCATTGAAGTCCTGTGGTTAGCTCAGAACATGCCCATCTTCATAAGGATAACATGTTAGGCAGACCCGATGACATGGTCTGCCTTTCACAGCCAAGCTTTGAATCTGGCCTTCATTGTTTAAGTTTGGCAGGCCCATCATCCTAGTAGGTGACATTTTCTGTGAATCCTTCATCCTTTTTATCGAGGTAAAGGGGAATAGTAGTGTGGCTCTAATAGTTGTTCATAAGGAGCCTCTCAGGTTCCATTTCTGGTGAATTTACTGTCTTGAAAGAGGAGAACAGCATCCTTTGAAAAGGAACTCCAGCGCAAAGTAATGAAGACTTTTAACTGCAAAATAAAATGCAAATCTGGACGTAGGTAGAGTAAGAAAGAAGAAATTTTGAGGACAGTCAGGAGGAGAAATCATGCAAATAAACATGAAATGTAATATCTTTGTGAGGGGAACTTGCTATGCATTTTTTTCATTAAGTATTTTGTGAAGTTGCAAATGTATATAGCATACTATTCTGTAGGGATTTTTATAGCTAAGCCCCCTAGAAATGCTGTACACTATAAAATGTGAGGAAATCCTAACCTGCTCTTTGTTTGCTTGTTTTCCTAGTTTTTTTCTTGTGTGCCTTGCCATGCAAGAAAAAAACCCTTCCCGGTTTTTACTTCTATTGGATTGCTTTAACTATATGATTCTACATCTTAGTTTATATGGATTATATAAGGAAAACAGGATAACAATGAGGAAGAAAAACTAGCAAGAATAATAATTTATGTTGCTTATACCTGTGTGCATGTATTATGCGAGTAAGTATGTGCATAGATAGGTTTTGAGTGGAAATCTTTGGCCATTCTGTTGAACTGAGAGTGTCTTAGTAATCTGTAGGAGTAAAATTTGGGATATTTGATACTGAGAAGCACATAGTTACTATTTTAGGGGGGGGAATCACTGATACTAATACTTGAATATATTTGTGCTAATTAGTTTTTAGTGCATCTATGTATCTTACCAAAAAAATCTCAGAGGGGAGGAGGGTAGCTTTGCAAATACAGTAAAACACTGAGAACTCAGTAAGCTTATTGTTAGAACATAGACACTTATACAGTTTTAAAGATATTTTTTTAAAAAGTTGTTTTATAAAATAGTTTCTTGCACTTTACCTGCTGGCTTTTCAATTTGGTAGATAACATCTGAACTCCAGCAGAGTTTTATAATCCCCACGTGCTTAAATATACTAAATGTTCTTTTTCCATTAAGGTTAATGTTCGTGAAGAAATTGAAGAGTTTTTTCCAAGAATGTGGAAGATAAATCAAGATAAAAGAAGGCTAATGAAAAGTATTAAAGATCAGAAAATTAAAATTGAATGGGGGAAAAAATTGAACAGAAGATTGGTCAGATAGAAGCACTTGAATATTTTTTTAAGGCTATAATGAATTGTTTGAATTGGGGAAGAATACACGAAGTATGAAAAATGAAAAACTCAATGAAGAATGAAGAAAAGTAGAAAGCAAGAGTGAAGTAGAATTAAAAGAATCTGGAAGAATGAATGGGTCCTAGGTTAAGTAAATGTATGGTTTATGTTCCAGTGTCTGTATGATCAAGTTGTAGATGAATTTGCATGATTACTTAGTTAATAGCGAATTGGTGATCTGGTTCAAGCAGGGACCTATTTGAGGCGAGCATACAATATTAACAGTGGGTTAGCAAAATGAAATTTGTTTTGGAGGGTATTGCCTAACCATTTATTTTTCAGGAGCAATCAATATAATAGAATTACTGTACTTTAAATGTTAGGAGTTAGGCATTTACGCAACCAATACCATTTTTAATACTGTCTTTTTTGTTAGGAGTCTCGCTCCCAGTCAAAATCTCCAGCTGGGAGTCCTGCTCGTGTAAAATCAGAGAGCAGGTCAGGATCTCGCAGTCCGTCGAGGGCTTCCAAACATTCTGAATCGCACTCTAGGTCAAGATCAAAGTCAAGGTATGTTCAGAAAGTTATTCATGTCATCTCAATGTTACTGTTATTTTAGTGGGTTGATGAAATTTCTTTTCCCCTGTTGTAAAATGATAAACTTTTTGGAATATCTTAACAGGGATATGTTAATTTGCCTGTTTGTTCTCATATAGGTGGACAAAGATGGGAAATTATTTAATGGGTATGAATAGAGAGAATACTATAATTAGAAGTAGTAATGTAGAACTCACAATTGAAATACGTAGGTTTGTCTCTTCCAGAAGAGAGAGAATGAATTGCATTTCTGTTCTGTGGAGCTCCTGCTTCCTTCTCCCAAAACTGTTTATGGGGGAATTCTTGTGTGGACCTTTCCTTTAGGGGGAAGAAACCAAGTCAGGTGAGACCTGGTGCAAAGGCATCAGGGTTAGATAAGAAGTGTAAGCTGTCTAATTGTTGGAAATATGGGAAAAACAGTGTGTGTGAATGTTCTTGACATTCTTTCATTGGAGGCTTTAAAAATATAATCAAAAACTATGTCTTAAATTGGGTGTGGATAGGTTCTTGATTTGTGAGAGTTTTGAGATTTTAATTCATTTTTTAATGCTGCACATGTCTTTCACTGTACTTCTCTGCCCCAAGTATGGATTTGTGGAGATAAAGCTTTGTAGCTCTTGGTTCTGATGGAGCTTGCACAGATCAGAAGAGAATGTCTTGGGCTTTTTTCTCTAAATGTGCCATAAGTATTACCTGGTTTATACTACCTGTCTTCTTTATTCCCTTTTACCAACATACTGATGAAAATGGAGAGAGCTACCAAATCTAATAACCAAGAGAGAAACCAGAAGACAGCATTTGTAGTGCTACAGGGGAGAAAGGAATAGTCTTATGTTGTTTCTCCTTCCCAGTTCTTGGGAGAGTTCAGTAATACATCTTTATTTACATGCTTTATACCAGAGCAACTGAAAGAGTTGCTGTGCTCTGAATTTGCCGAAGTTCAGTTAATATTACAATTTCTCTTCTTGCAATGTTTAGCCAGATGATTACCTGTTTTAAACAGCTTATTGTCAGCAAGATTGAGGAGTAGAGCAGGATTTTTTTTTTTTTTTGGTCTGGAGTAATTTTCTTGCCTGGACAGACTTTGCTTTGCTTTTTGCTTGTAGATATTGCAGCACTGAAGAAGTCCTGCCAAATTTTTCAGTTTTTCAGTCAAAATGGTCCCTTTCAGTGTAGCATATCTAGTTTCTGTGTCACTGTACAGTTGTTAGTTAGATAAGCAGCCAAGCTCATGTAAGTTTAAACTCCTCTGAAATTCTTGAAAACTGTTGTGAGTACAGTCCTCAGTGTACGTGAGAAGTACTCTCAAAGAGTTAAAAATGGTGCTGTCAAGCAGGTTATTAGAGATCCATGCAATCTTTGGATATGCAAGGTAGAAGAAGCTCAATGGCTTTAATTGTAGGCATCATCTAAAAAAAGTTGGTTCTCTAGAAAATGTACTGTTTACAGTTCAATAAAATATGACCATATGCATGACCTGACTAAAGGCTTTGTCTTTGTCGAAGATCCAGGTCCAGAAGACATTCTCACAGACGTTACACGCGGTCCAGATCCCATTCTCATTCCCATAGGAGACGTTCTCGAAGCAGATCGTACACACCAGAATACCGTCGTCGAAGGAGCCGTAGTCATTCTCCAATGTCCAACAGGAGAAGGCACACTGGCAGCAGAGTATGTCATGTTCAAAAGGGCTGAGTATCGACAAAACAATTGCTGCTTGTATCAGTGTAGTCCAGGTTACCTGCAGGCTGAGTTCGACATGCTGTTATATCACTGGAGGATATGGGAAATGGCTGGGAGTGGGGGCTGTGTGTGGAGCAGTCACTATCCTTACAGCTGAGCACTTATTTCTTGGGCCTGCAGCTGACAGGGAAGTTGTGGAAATTAATTGAAAAACATTCTATTGCAAGTCAGTATGTGCAGATACAGTGACATGGGCTCCCATCAGCTCTAGAAGTTGAGCAGTTCTGATTCCTTTTTTCTGTACAGTTCCAAGTATATGTACCCTTTACAAAGATGAGACCACCTCTGTGTGTGCTGGCAACCTGACAGTATTGATAAGATTGACATAGGGACCCATAGAAAGAAATCCCCAAATGTTTATTTGCTTATAGAGAATATGTTGCAAGTTGCTTGTGATTTTATGCTTCTGATTATTTAATTTGCTTTACCTTGAAGTAAAGCCCTGTGCTGTTAGGTAATATGAAAATCTTTATAGTGGACTAGAAGAATTCACAGTTGTGAAAAGGAGGTACAGTCAGTCTTTCAAAATGTAAATGAGAAGTGTCTCTGTATGAGCAGGAGAGAGTATAGTTACACCAACCAAAATCTAAAATACTAATCTTATCATTCTGATATTTCTCTGTGTCCTTCTTTGTAACAGCAGAATGGTTGGGCTTGAAAGGGATCTTTGGAAATTAGCTAGTCCAGCTCCCCCTAAAGCAGGTGCACCTAGAGCAGGTTCTACAGGATCACATGCAGGTGTGTTTTGACCACCTCTAGAAAAGAAGACTTGGCAGCCTCTCTGGTCAGTGTGTTCCAGTGCTCAGACAACCTCAGAGAAATTTTCCTTCACATTTAGATGGAATGTACCATGTTTCAGTTTGTGCCTGTTGCCCCTTGTCCTGTTGCTTAGCAGCACTGAGGGCAGTCTGGCCCCATCTTTGTGATGCCTGCCCATGAAATATTTGTATGCATTGATAAGATGCCCTCTCAGTCATCTATTCTCCAATTTAAACAGGCCCAGCTCTCTGAGCCTTTCGTTATAAGGGAAGCACTCCAATCTTCTAATCATCTTCATAGTCCTCCACTCCAGTTTCTTGTCTAACCTGTTTCAGTGCTTTAGCTTCTTGGTTCACATCACTCCAGGCTGATCTAAATGAATGTCACTGCACACAGCTACACAGCTCTCCCTTTCCTTGTTGAGGGCAGTAATATATTTCTGATCCTTTTAGTTTTAATCTGGTTTGGTCTGCAGATTTTTTTATGAATTCTTTCAAAAAGCATACAGAGTTTTTTTGCTGTCCTATCTTGGTGAAGCAGATCACCAGGAGCAGGTTAGTACCAATGTGAGGGAGCAGAAAAAAGGGGGAAGAGGCAAGACTCCAGCAGTGCTAGCATGCAGTGGCTGAAGCTGTGGTGAAGCAATGTACATAGCAGCTTTTTATGGATTGTTGCCAGCATCTAATCATGATGAAGTAAATATTAATCTAGTGAGTTGAAAAATAGGCAGGAGTAGCTGAACTTCAAGAGGGTTAGCCATCTTTCTGTGGAAAGGTAGAAGAATCCACTTTACTACTTTAGGAATTATTAGGATGCTTTGCTATGTGAAGATGTTTTTCTGCCTTTGGAAATGACTTTGTGAAACACTACGAGTGTTTTCACAGTGAATTTTTCAGTATTTCTAAGGAGTAGTTCTAACAGTGTCAAAATGAAATTAAAATCAGACAAGATTTGAAATCCCCTTAATAACAAGGTCCTAATGACACCAGGAAAATTGCTAGCAATTTTGCCACTTCCTTTCTTGTAGAGAGAGCTTGCATACTGGGTTGATGGGAGGCAGTACAGAAACCTAATACAAATGCCCTTTAGTCCTCCACAGTCAGTTTTGGCCTTCCAGTGGTTGTATAGTTGTCACTTGTCACTTAAGGTCTGCAGACTGATCTCAGGACATCTCTTGCCTCAGAAAAATTAATACGCTTTATATGTAAGAGAGATGTTAAAAAAGGGCAACAGGTATGGATGTGTGGAGGAATTTACCCAAACAATGATTTAAAAGACAGTTTTCATTATACTTAGAGGAGTTCAGTAATAAAATGAGCATAGTTGCCAGTGCCATTGAACTATCAGATTGAAATATGGAGTAAAAAATACATATCTTGATGTGTATAATTAAAACTTTTGAATTACAAACTGCCAGGTCTTTTTACTCTTCCACTATAGTGAGGAATTGCAGAAGATTCATGTCTTAAAGCAGAAGTTTGAACTTGGACAAATGGAAAAAAGGGACTTCAAATATATTAATAGTGTGGACATCTTTTTTTCACAATAGAGTCCTGAACAAATGCTCTTAAAAAAATTACAACAGGAGATCTAAATCTTTTCAGTCTTTGAATAAGGCTGAAAAGCAGGCTCTGAGGCATAAATTATTATGCTTAGCTGAAATTTGTGTTTCATTTTCAGATGTGTCAATTTCCAGTTGTTATTTTGGGAGAAACATTAAATCTCTGTGCTTGTTGCTGGTATTTTAAATTGCTGTCTCTAGTATTGCAGGTACCAGACACAGAAGTGAAAAACATGTTGATTGATCAAAATAATTTTTACAGAGGTTTTGGCATTAGTTATGAATTCTCTAGCATGTAGAGAAATTTTAATCCTAAAAGAGAACTTGTACCTTGTACTATTACATATTTGACTTTATCTAGTTGAAGTGAGACCTGTGAAGTATCCCACATAATGTTAGAGAGTCAAGAGTTTTGTGCTAAAGAAATATGCATGCTTTTGGATTACAGTTTCACACTACTGGCCTTAAACATATGTTGCTCTCTAGATGAAAGAAGCAGGTGCCTTTTATCCAGTTGACAAGTGGAAAGATTAACTTACAAATGTAAATAGTGACTTTCACTATAGTTGGATAGGAAATGCTGAGGTGGAGGAAGTATCAGTAGAAGCTGGATAATAGTTCAGTTGTCTGTGCTTAGAAGCTCAAGTGCTCACGTGTAGTGTGGGCAGCTGGAGGCAGTGTATGCTCTATAGTGCCTATGATGACCATGCAAAAGGGCTGAAGGTGGGAGTTAAGGCTGGCAGACCTGGTCTCAGCACAGATTTCTATGTGGTGTCCTTGTTGTGCCCCTTCTTGGTAATTTCGGTATGAAATACTAATAACATGGGTTCCTCTTGTTCTGTAGCTTTTCTGTGGATCAGAATGTTTAAATTTTATCAACTGAGTTTTTTACCAACATGCGAAATCTGTCTTGGTCTTTTTTATAAAATTAAAACCATTGAAAGTAGTTGCTTTTTTTGAAATTATCTTATAATTAGAGTGATAACTGTTGAAGTGTTAAGCTGTGTATTAGCCTGTTCAGTTTTCTTCAGATTATTTTTTTTTATAATTGATGATTTTTGATATAAGAATATTTAATTTTATTTTTTTAAAAATAAAATTAATTGGAGTTGAATATTTGTGTTACCAGGCTAATCCAGATCCTAATACCTGTCTTGGAGTGTTTGGTCTCAGTTTGTACACTACTGAGAGAGATTTACGTGAGGTCTTCTCCCGTTACGGACCTTTGACTGGTGTCAATGTGGTTTATGATCAACGGACTGGACGATCAAGAGGATTTGCTTTCGTTTATTTTGAGAGAATTGATGATTCTAAGGAGGTAAATGCATGCTTTGCTACTTTTTTCAGGTGTGCTCTTTATGCATTATCTTCATTAATTGTCTGTAAAAAGAAAACAAATTTTTGAGTGTGTATTCTTTAGGAGATTCTCACACTGAGATTAATTTAAAATGTTTTGTTCAAGTCATGTGGCACTTCTAAACAAATGAAGCATTTGAGTCCAGTGTTCAGATGCATGGGCAGATTTTGAGCATAAGCTGTCTGTATTAAACCACCAGTGAGCACTGGACTTCAATTTTAGTCTGTTACTTCAAAATGCAAATAAATCATTGAGGCTTCTATATCTAAAGTATTTTTGAAATATTTTGGAAATGAAAATCTTACATTTTCTGGATCAAAATTCTGGACATTCTGTTTGCATTTTCTCCTTCTAGGCATGTCATTGTACGTTTGAAAATCGGTGGGGTTTGTCTTGAGTTGTGCCTTGTTCAATTGTTTTCCTGGTTGTTTAACAGATAGCTGTTAATAGCTAGACTGAGTTGTTAGTATAATTGATCAGTAAGGAAAGAATCAGAATATGAACAGCAGCCTGTGTTACAATTCATGACATTATAATATACAGTAAGCGGTAGACTTTTTTACCCCTGTAATGCTACCATGAACTTAACCACATTTACTGAAATTTGTAGATTAAGTTGCTATTAAAAGTAAAGGTGCCCTCTAAAAAAAGTCTTCAAGCCTGTACTGTGTGATTATCTCTTTCTTTGGGATAAACTGAGTCATACACTTCATCTTGTTTATGAATTAATAGGTTTGGGCAGATGTGCTGTTTGATTCTGTGTGCATTTGTTAAGTTTATTTATAAGGAGATACCAAATACAACCCCTCTCTTTAAAGATCATTTAGCATTAAAGACAGGGAGAATGACAATTCTGGAACCTATCAGGAGCTGAAAAATAAGAACTCTGATGCTACTTGATATTTTAATGAAAAAAAACCTGTTTTGTGGATTACTTGATTGAGCTGTACTTCTTGTCTGACTTCTAGTATGATCCAACTGAGAATCAATTTATGGGAAGAGTAGTCTTTGTGTATGTATTTATATGTGGTTGTTGCAGGTTATAGAGGTATGTAAAAGGACGCAAAACTTTAGTGTCCCTTGTATATTTTCTTGAAGTCTCAGTTGAACAGGTTGGTAAAGAGGTTCATGGGGTGCATAGCTGTATATCCATCTGTCTTTAAGGGCCTGCTCTCTTCTAACTTCTAGCCTTGTATTTCTGTTCGCACTGAATTTGTTGGGTTTTTTAAAAAGTGGCTGTTTTGTAAAACACTTCACATCCAAAATATTTGCACAGTATTCCTTGGCACGGTCATATACAGGTTTTGTCTGTCTTACAGCTTCATATGTCTTTAGAAGTAGTTTTTTTTCCTGGTTGCCACAGGCAATGGTCATGCGTGAGACCATGCATTTCTTAAAATGTTCCATGTAAATAGCATGAAGTAATTTGTTTAGTATAAAGCTGTTTTGGCAGATGCTGTGAAACTGGAATGTGAAGGAAAACAAAAAGGGATGTTACTTGCATTCAGAAATATGGAGGTCAAGATTAGAGCCTGAAGCAGAAACTGAAATAATTTGGAATGTAATTAAACCCATTTTTCTTTTCTCCAATGGGCTGGTGCCTGAAGCGGGGGAAAGGATGCAAACCCTCCCAACACCTGGAACTTAAATAACTGAAATACTTTGGCAAGAAGGACAGAAGGAAAACTTGTTTATTTGACTTATTTGTTGGGCCTTGAGGACAGATTTGAAGATTGCAGTAAATGTCAACTGTTGTTGAAAAGGGGAGATACATAAATGCAGGTACATACATACATACAAATGTAGGTATAGATAGATATTTAGCTGTAGGTGTGAAATTTTGTGACAGGCCTTTTAGGAGAAGAATGAAGGAAATGAAGCAATGTTTGGAAGAGAGTCTGGAAAGTTGAGTATGCATTTTGTTCTCTGTTTGGAAGATAGTCTGAAAAGCTGAGTTTGCATTAAAGCAATGGTACTTGAATTACTTCTGTTCTGAGTAGGTAACCCTTTTTAAAAATAATAATTTTAAAAACTCCAACCAACCAAAAACAATAACCAGAGTTCCAAACCTTCAACATGCTAAACATCTAAATAAAGAGATGAGCTGTTGAACTAAACTCCAGCCCTTTTAAAGATAGATGGATTAAATGAGAGTAGAACTCTACAGGAAAATGAGGATTTTCCATAATCTTCACTATCGCCCTAACTAACACGGGGAAGCATCTCAGCAGACATGCTCTGAAATACAGGTAGTACTAAAATTTTACATCAAATTAATTGTGAGTAATTGTTTAAACTTTCATAACTTGAAGATTGATCAGTGTCAGATGTGCATGGATTCTCTTGAGCTGAAATCCCTCAGGATCTTTGTCATCCCTGTTACCACTTTTAAAAACTGGATCAGTTATTGAACTAATTAAAATGTTGCTTTGGGTCATGATTATGAAACCAAGTTGTACAGTACCATAAGCTGGTAAAGACATTTTGAATTGTCAGCTAGCTCTCTATGTATTGGAACTCCAAAGACAATGTAAAATAGAATTTCTTCAGGGTGATATGATACTTCTCAGTGTCCTGAAAACACTGAATGGGCAGATTTAAAATTTATTTTTACTTAGACTGTTTTAAAATTTCAGAATCTCAGATTTTGACACCATAGCAGCCTTGTTAGCTGTTCATGAGCATCTTGGTTATAAAGAGGAACACAAGCTTAGCTTTTGATTACTACACAGAGAAGCTGTCAAAAGCATCACAGTAGCTTCAGACATTCCACTATAACAGGGCTGAGGAAGTTTTCAAAGCATGTGTCCAATCCAGGAGATTACTTGTAGAATATGTTCTATTCTGTTTGAAACTCTGCTGAGGTTAAGATGAAACTTTATGATCAGACAGAAGGTTCCTTTCCCATCAGATGTCTTATTGCAGTGGTATAGTGTGTGCAAAATAACACTTGACTGGAGTCTTAGGTTTTGATCCATATTGAAGATATTCATGGACACTGTCTTGAGTTCAAAGTGTGATAACAGTAAATATCAAGGACTGATGATGTCTTAGGAAACAACTGATGAATGTCTAATCATTATCTAGAAACGTGAGGTTTTGGTATGTCGATGTTCTTGTCTGTCACCTTGTTCAAAGCCTGTTTGAAAAGCTTCTGTCATTATGTACCTATTTTTAGAATGGGTATAGTGGGTTTCATTTTTTGTGAAGTTCTTTTATTTCAAAAAGTTGTTTTTTAAAAAAAATACTTGCTATTGTTTTTTTGCCTTGGGTGGTGCAGTGTCTTGTCTTTGCCACTCTTTTCCAAGTTAGAACTATGTGGGCAACATGCAAAATCTGTGAACATCAGTTCAAGACTTGTTTCTCACACTCTTACGGAGTTTGCAGTATTGGCAATGCTGGCATGGAGCCAGTGTTGTAATGTTGTTTTGCAATATTTTCACTAAATTATAGAGGATATTCATCTGCCCATCACATAAGGATTTTCTTCCTGTGTTTTAGAGGATCACAAACTTCTATGTACTTTGATGAGAAAAAAAATTAGTTGATGGGGGAGGAATTGATTGTGTCAGGGTCTTACTTAACAGTAAGTTGAGAAAATCACGAGTGAAAAGTGCTGGCTGTTCTAGGGCTGTTCTGGTAACTTAAAACAGTTATCAGGGATTTCATATGCTGCTAAATCAGCTTTTCAGTAGCTCAGACTGTGAAGTGTTAGTTGTTTAAACTGAGGCTACTGTGAATGTACTGTCTGTAGGAGGAACTCATCTAAGAAGCAGCAGCTACAGCAGCTGTTGGCAATACGGAATTTTCTAATGTTAGTTAAATGTTCTTCAAAAAGTTTTTACCATCTTTCCAGAACCATTTTCTGATGTACTGTTCATTAATAATGAACAGTAATTAATAATCAGCACACACCATTAACATCATTCAGTTGCCAAAGACCAGAATAATTATGGAGTTCATCAGTTCAATTTGAAAAACATATAATCTGTGGTACAAGCAGATGAGCTTAGAACCAATGTTATTGAACAAAACTCCCATGGCTTGTTGAAAAAATGATTTAAGTATTGTTCAAAAACAGCCCTAACAGGAAAGAGTACTAGAAGGTCTTAAATGTTCAGAATTACAAGTTACTTCTGGAGACTCTGAAATACCATGAAATTACTGATACGTAAAGGAACATCCAGTTCCTCATATTCTCTAAAATCCTGTATTGACTCTGAAGCTCTAAAATATGCTTTAAAGGTAATACATTAAATCTGTCAGTGTTTTTAATCTCATAATTTTATATGTTTAAAAGTTGAAATCTCAATCTAGAGAAGTGAAATGGAGTATTGTTCAAAAGTGAAATGGACACTTGAATTGAACTTGACAGACTGCAGCAGATGTAAAAAGATGAGTTTCTTAATTTCTTTATTAATTCCCATCAGATTTTTTTGTTGGGTTTTTTTTTTTTTTTATTTTTCTTTCAGTTATTCTCAGTAAATCCAGAACTGAATGGGTAATTGATACACTGGAGGGGGAAAATCCAATCCATTGTGTCTTTTATCCCTTGCTGTACCTGTGATAGAGTAGAGGTGATGTTTTTGTCAGTGGCATTAAATGCAGTAGAGAAGAACTTCTGGTAAAAAAAAACAAACTCCCAAAACTACAGTGAGGGGAACAAAATAAAAGGCACTACCTTGTGTTATTTTTAAATTGTGAGAACACATTTTCAAAATAAGTCACAATATAAGCTGCTCATGTTTGACTATATAAGTGTACTCAGTCTGTATTTTGCTAACTTTGTAGTGATGTCAAGTTATTGAAATAGTTACCCAGACTGAAAGTCTTTAATTTTTTTAGTGGGTTATTGATTGCTTAACTAATACCAGCCACCCATGTAAGTTTGTGCATTTAATTAAAAGTTGTGTTTCCAAACTTGTTATACTCTACCTTAACTGGTCATACACGTAGAAAACATCACATACTTTATTAAATATCAAATTACATTGAAATCTTTGTTAAATTTAATGCTTTCTGTCTTTGAGCCACTGGAGATGCCTCCTGTAGTTCAGGAACTGCTCATTTTGTCAAACCAACACCTTATAGATAATCAGTTCTCTTGTTATGGATAGTCTGCTGAAGGTTTAAAACTGTAAAACTTGAAAAATGTAATCCAAGATTGAACCTATGCCATTCCCAGTCCTAGTTCTATTTTCTGACTGCAGACATATAGATGTGTATTCTAGACTACAAAAATCAAGTTTTCCATAGAATTTGCTACCAGAACTAATACATGTTTATAGGAATGCTGTTTTCTTGCTTACTGTCCTCTTGCAAAAACCATACAAGTCTTTTAACAACATTCAGATATTTGGAGAAGAATCCAGGTTGTAATAAAAATAGATTGGTGACAGTTAGACTCCTAAGAGGGCATTGTGTGTCTTAAAAATCAAATAATATTTGGGGTTTTTTTTTAAAGTTTCATTTTGTCACTGTAGACAGTATTTGAGAATGTCTTCAGCATTGTTAGAAAGAATATGCAATTTTTTCTCTTTGACACTCAAATAGTGTTAACACAGCAGTCATGCACTCCCAAAACCAGCAAGAAAAGGAAACTGAAATTTGTTTTGAATATGGCATACAAGAAGACTGTAATATCCAAAATTTTCTTGTAAACTCCTTTAACTTTCAATAAAGCACAGAAATGCCAGTGATTAGGATCACTAATATATTTTTACAGCCTTCATACAAAATAAATACTGTTGTATCAGTTATGTGAACACAGTTTTTCAGAGAGGTCTTTTGGTCATCTTGCAGCAGTTCTTACCTTATAATGTCAGCTTAAATACTTTACTTCAAAGAGCTGAGGCGTCCATGTTGAGAGTGGTGCAGAGAATCTGGGAACCCCTTTAGAAGGAATTTCCAGTTGCTAATTACTGAATGTGAGTGATCCATACTATTAATTGTTGTAGGTTTTGGCTTTCCTGCATTTAGGGATGCTGTCAGAATTTCAAGAGGCTTTATTGTTTTTGTCTATCTGTTAAAGATTTTCTTTATTTTAAATTTTTTTAGTTGGCGGTTATTTCTGACAGCTGCTGAACCATAAGAAAATTAATGTTTTAATATTTGTTAGGACATTAGACATTATGACCAGGGTGTCAGGAGTTCTGTGCAGTCCGGTAACCATGAACGAATCTTAATCCACTGAAATGTAACACATTTCCTGGTATTTCAAAAACAAACAGGCAACTCTCAAATTTAATTCTTCATTTCTCTTGCTGGTATGTTGCTCTTCTCTGTATTGCTCCCCCTGTCAGAGAACTCTTCCTCTTGAAGAGGTTGTTTGTTGGCTTAACTAAAGAAGACATGCCAGATGTTCTGGATTGGGGTGGCTTCTTGTCAGCTAAGCTTACTATTGTGCAAGTTGTTGACTGGACTTAAAAATGCCATGCAGCAGAAAATTGCTTAAAAGTTAACTTGCTGCATTTCCAGAAAGATGCTTTTCATCATAAAGGTAATTTTTCAGCCAGACATTTGCAGCCTTCATTGTTAGGTTTGTGCACACATACTTTTCTAGGATGCATGCATAGATTTATTTTAATTTACGTCATCCTTATGGGAAAAAAAAAGATGTTAAGGCTAGAAGGCTAAAGATGAGGAGTGTGTTTTTGTCACAAAATATACCTTAGTGTATGTTGAAGGATTTGGAATGCTCTTTGCTAAGCCTTGCAGTTGGCTAAATGTAGTTAGTTTTGTACAGGAACACAAATCACTAGATGGCGATATAGTATGGACACAAACAGCATTATTAAAATACAAACTCAATCTTGATAAATGCATTAGTGATCATCAGTCACTTCCCAGTTTGGGCACAGCAGTTAAAACATGTTGATGTCAGGTTTCTCTGTCTCCTTTATGGCACTATGTAAGTTCAGTAAGGCTCTTGTTAGAGTTGAGATTTTTGAATAAATGTTTAATTATTCAACAAAAAAAAAAATCTATGCTAAAGAGGCAGCTTCATGTTTTGAGGTTGGTTGTTGTTTTTTGCCGATAAAAAAATTGCAAAGTGGTTATGTTCTTTACTCAAGATTGTAACAGTGTGTCTTCTCCACACATGAAAAATTAAAATCATGTGTATTGGACTAAGTGCTGTGCTTAGTGTTGAGAAGTAAGAGGTGTGTATTGGTATTTCAGAGATCCTGTAGAAGCTAACAAAATCTATTAAAATTCAAAAAGCAAAATTTTAAAAATCCTTTCAAGTCATCATTAGCTGTTAAAATTAACTGTTGTGGATTTGTTGTTTGTTGGGGTTTGTGTTTTTAGGTTACTTTTGCCTGAATAAAATTCTCAAAAGTACGCTGTGCTCCTTTGAAAAACTTACTTTGATGGTTTGAGTTTGTGAAAGGCCATTGTATTGATTCTCAGAGTGAAGAAGCTGGGGCTGGAACACCCAGCGAGTGTGTGCAGGGGCTGCGGGCGGTTCTGAGGGCACGGGCGTCTGAGCGCAGACCCTTGTGTGTATCACTTAAGCGAGCTGCTATTGTGAGAGGGAGTGGGGAGGAAGGTTGTAATTAGGTATCCATGTAGGCTGAACCCGCCATTTTACTAAGCTCTGCTGAAGTAGGTCCTTGTAAGGGAGATGGCAGGAGGCTGGGAGAGCATGAAATGGCAGCCGACGAGCAGTAATCCGGCCATATGCACCCTACAGGAAGCCACTGTTTTGCACAGCTTTTGAATCCGCCCGTCCCCTCTGGGTCAGAGACGGCGGTAGGAAAGATGCAGTTTTCAGAAAAATGCTGTTTTGACTTTGAATTTACCTTTCAGATGGGTAGAAGATAAAGTCTAGGGAGAGTGGCTGTGTTAGTGGTTAGCCTGTGCTCCCTTAAGAAGGGATTGAGAGTCGCATGAGTTCGGCACCCCAGTGCAGTCCTGTAACCACCGGCAGACAGGCATGGGGACAAGAGATGAGCCAGTCGCCACAGTGGGGCACTAGTAACCAGTCTAAACAAGACAGGTCCTGGGCTTGTATTTCTGGTGGAAAATAATGTGTTTCTACATTGCCTTCCATAGTTACCAGTCCTTGTCTCTCCTGCAGGCGATGGAGCATGCAAATGGAATGGAGCTGGATGGCAGGAGGATTCGAGTGGATTACTCAATCACCAAGAGAGCACATACACCCACCCCAGGCATCTACATGGGCAGGCCAACACAGTAAGTTCAATAGGATTAAACCGAATGCTGGATTCTGGTTGAAGAAATTACTAATATAAAGAATGCAGTACTGTGGTTCACATACACTCTTAAATACTACTGTAGTTTATTGTATCTTTATTTATAAAAATATTGAAGGACCTGTTATTAAAAAACAATGTCTAGCATCATCAATTGATGTATCCTTAGCCTGCTGAAATACTAAGGTGGCCATTTGCCTTTGATTTTGATGGGAATTAGAGACAGATCCATTGTTTTTCTGGGAGTTTCTGCTGGTGTTTTTATTTACATATTTTGTTTGTATATTTTTGTGGTATAGTCTTCCAGTGTCTGATTTACTACCCGACCACTTTAAAAATATTTTAAATAATTTGTAATAATTTATCTAATAATTTAACTCAAGGTGAAGACTAGATATATAAAGGGGGTTTTGTTTTTGTTTTATCTTTTCCCCTAATAGCAGTGGAGGAGGTGGTGGCGGTGGAGCAGGTCGTCGCCGAGACTCATATTATGACAGGGGGTATGACAGAGGATATGACAGATATGAAGAATATGACTACAGATACAGGTACCTAATCTTTATTTTATTTTTTTAACAGTGGGTTTGGTGATTTGTTGAAAAGTTGGATGACAAAACACATTATTCAGTTTATAGTAATATTCTGCATTCATGCCTGTTGTGTGTTAGAGCCTCATTCACATATGTTTTGTGGGATTAAAGTAGTCAGAATCTTCAGTGTTTATGGAATTTGTTTTTTCTGTTGGGCAGGGCGTTAATTTTGCTATGTGAAGGAGGTGTAGAGCATATACCCCAGGAATCAAGTGGACAGATAAAAAGGGAACTCATTTTTCTATGCTGTATATAGAACCAGGGACAGCTGATACACACTGCTGTTTAAAAAGGGATTATTTGTAGATGGGATTTTTAATGCTTGACATTTCATAACCATCTTGCTGTTTAGAAAGTTATCTGGTTTCAGAGAATGTTGTTCAGCAAGAATTGTAGGCATCTGGAAAAGCACTTCATGTAAGGCTAGTGAGAGTTTATTAAATTCTTTGTCTGGGAATATCTTCAAGTTTAAATACATCAAATAGAGAAATATGAAAACATTTGTTAAATAACCATAAGCCACAGGCAAATAAAGCAGAAATCATTCATGCAGGCCAAGTCTTTCAGTGCTAAGGAAGTGGTTCTGTTCTGTAGAAGTGATGTGAATAAGGGTTCTTTCATAATGGAAGTTGTTTGGTTTCTTTTTTAATTTCCTTTAAAGGAGACGATCACCATCGCCTTATTATAGTCGATACCGATCGCGATCAAGATCCCGTTCCTATAGTCCAAGTAAGTAAATACAAGTGAATAAACAGAGTCTGGCTGACATAAACATTGTTATATGAATTGATCAATGGGAATTCTGAATGTGAAAGCAAAAAAAGCTGGGCACAGTTAAGCTGAGATAATGTGTACAGTTAGTTTATGATTGTTTAATTAGTAATTGTGTCATCTTTTGTTTTTTCCAGGGCGCTACTGAAGATTAGAAGAGTTACAGTTGAGGACTTGATTTTTAAATACAAAGTTCAGATCTTTAGCATCCCTACCATGCTTTCCCTTCCATCTTCCCTTTCTTGTTCTCCTTCCGGCTCTTTCAGAAGTCTTTGGTTCATTTAGAATATACATATTTTCAGTTGAAGTATTCCTATTTTCCATCCCTTCTTATTGTAATACTCTTAAATATTGTAATTGTTGTAGTTTTTGTGTAGTAAAACATCTTGAGTAAAATGAAATAGAGAAACCCGAAGTGCTGATACATTTTGGAAGTCATTCCTATTTCGTTTTTACAACAGTTGGACTCCTGACTAATCAGAAGAGAGCGTTGATATTTTTAAAGCTTGCATGTCATATGTAGTATACACACTCGGATACTTTAACATAAACCTGCATTTCCAAGTAACTTGTTAATCTTTCTGTTAAAATGTTTACCTATTACTTTGATAAACAAGTAATGACTTTGAGCCTTTTCTGTAATGATAAATTTGCTTAGATAGTCATGAACCAGAGGATTGGTTTGTTTTTTTTTGTTTTTGGGGGGTTTTTTGGTTGGATTTGTTTTTTTTTAATGTGTCAAGTAGTTGCTTTGAGAGTAGACTATTTGAGCTAGATCAGAATTTGGTATTTGACTGACTGGGAGAATAGATCCTTGTACACTCAAAATTAAGGCTGTGTGTTTTATAGAAAAAGTTTCTGGATTGCTACACAGTGGATAACAGTTGAAATTAAAATTGTTTAATTCCTGGGGTCTTTGTGGTACTTGGCTGAGTATTTCCCCTTAATTGGTGCAGAAGAAAAAATATTTATTGAACATAGCAATTAGTTATATAATTTGCTGTTCATGAAAGAAAAAGTCACAAACTTTTTGGTATTGAAATAATGATGGAGCAAGTTTTGTTTCCAATCCTTTTTGAACTTTTGGAAGTATGGATGGAAAAACCTACAGCTACATGTAAACCTTTTTTTTCCCCTCAATAAAAGTTAAGTCCACTGATAATGTAGTTTCTTGTCTTTCATTCTGCATTTTGTGTCACTTTGGAATATAGGTTAAACCATACTTGGTACTGGGGTGTGGATGATAAAGTCAGCTTTTACCTGTCTTTTCAGGAACCTTGTATTCCCCGAGAATCAGTATGTGGTTATGTGGGATGGCTAAGCAGGGTGGGTAGTCCAGCTTTCTCTTGTGCCATCCTTGTCACTTGCTGGAGTTGTGGTGAGATGGTTGAATGAGAGAAACACTACTGACTTTGTTTAGCTTTCTGGCAAGTGGCTGGTTGAATGTTGATGTTGCCGCAGCAGAAGGAACAAGACCACAAAGCCCTTGCAGCAAATTTCCATCCCGATTGTCAGGGAAGGCTACCAGAAGAGTTTGTCATGATTTTAAGAGGGTAAGTATATGAAATGTAATTGCATTAGCTATTTCTTAGTCTTGGTTCCAGAAACTCTTAACAAGTAGTTAAAAAAAACACCATCACGCATCTTAAAAGCTTGATAGAATATACCAGGAGAAATTGGTGACAAAACAAGTTCTAACTGGTTACTGCTCAATACCTTTGAATCCAGGATGTCTTATCCATAAGTTGCAGTTGAAAATTCTTAGTAAATTGAAAGCAGAGTAGCTGAAACAGTGATGTTAAATCTTTCAACTCTGATGAATTTACCACTTAATTATTGGTGATCCAGACAAATTAGGAAATATTAAGAAAATTATTTTCTTTAAAGCAAGGCCCCAATATCGCAAGACAAGAAACTGTTGGTATATTTAATTTTGGTTTTGTTCTTTCAAAACATGGTTACCCAGTGTGACACCCAGGTACAAGAAGGGCTGGAAGGAGGATCTAGGGAACTACAGGCCTTGGTGCCCAGGGTGGTTGTGGAGCAGGTATCTTGGGTGCCAACTCAGGACAACCAAGGGATCAGGGCCTAACAGCATGCGTTCAGGAAAGGTGGGTCCTGCCTGACCAGCCCGATCTCCTGTGACCTGGTGACTCAGTGGATGAGGGAAAGGCTGTGGGTCTTGTCTGGACTGCAGCAATACCTTGGATAGATACTGTCTCCCCTGGCAATCTCCTGGAAAAGCTGGCAGTCCCATGGTTTGGACTGGAGCGCTCTTCACTGAATGAAAAACAGTATGGATATCTGGTCCCAGAGGGTGGAGGGGAATGGTGCCACATCCAGCTGTTGGCTGGTCACAGAAGGTTCCCCAGGGAACTTCCCATATCTTTTCTCAGGCGTCTGGATGAGGGGATTGAGTGCACCCTCAGCAAGCTCACAGATGATGGCAAGTTGGGTGGGAGTGTGATCTGCAGGAGGATAGGAAGGTTCTACAGGGGGATCTGGGCAGGCTGGATCGATGAGGTTCAACAAGGTGAAGTGCCAAGTCCTGCACTTGGGTCACAGCAGCTCCAGACAGTGCTATAGGCTGGGGGCAAAGTGGCTGGAAAGCTGCCTGGCAGAAAAGCACCTGGGAATGGTGGTCCATAAGCTGGCTGAACCTGAGCTAGGAGTGAGCCCAGCTGGCCAAGAAGGCTGATGGCAGACTGGCTTGGATCAAGGATAGTGTAGACAGCAAGATCAGCGGTTGATCCCCTGTGCTCAGCACTGTTGAGGCCACAGTTTTGAGCTCCTGAGTTCAAGGAAGACATTGAGGTGCTGGAGTATGTCATGAGAAGGGCAATGGAGCTGGGGAAGGGTCTTGAGCACAAGTCCTGTGTGGAATCTCTGAGGGAGCTGAGCGGGTTTAGCCTGGAGAAAAGGAGGCTCTGGGAGACTGCATCACTCTACAACTGCCTGAAGCTGTAGAGCAGAGGGGGTCAGTCTCTTCTTCCAGAAAGTGATGGAGCAAGAGGACCATGGCCTCAAGCTGTGCCAGGGGAGGTTCAAGTCAGACATTAGGAGGGGTCTCTTGACAGAAAGGGTCACACGTTGGAATGGATTCCCTGCCCAGGGAGGTGGTGTGTTCCGATGTGGCACTTACTGCTACCGTGGTGATTGGTCAAAGGTTGGATTTGATCTCAGAGGTCTTTTCCAGCCTGGATCATTCTGTGTGAGTTATGGAAAGCAGTGTATCAGAACAGTGGGGCAGCCAGATGCAACAGCATGGGCAGTTGCAGTGCAGGTTGAGGGAGGCATTCAGGCACAGGGAATTAGGATAAAAGGAAGTGAGAGAGAGAGGTGGCTACTTACTGCAGTTTATGGTATTTGTGGCCTGTAATTGTCAAGGCTTGAGAAGTTGTATTCTCTGGCTAGAGAGCAGTTCAGCAAATATGGTGTCTGGAAGCTGAAGGAGTGTTGCAACACTTAGCTTGGAGATTGTTGTTTCCAACAGATAGATCTGTTGGCCTAAATATCCTACTTGGCACAAGTCCATATAAAGTTATCAGTGACAGCAGCATTGCATTACATGGCTCATTTTATGCTTCATGTTCAGTGATGTAAGGCAGTCAACTTGAAGAACAGGTGAAAGTGGTAATTCTTACTGTCCTGGACATACTTGTAGATGTCTGAAATGTATGAATAATTGCTGGACTTAATTGGCCATCTCTAAAACTGGCAGTCCTGAAAAGGACAAGGTAATTTGCAGCTGTTTCCTCATTTGTGGGTGGGGTGTTTTTGGTTGGTTGGTTGGTTGGTTTGTTGGTTGGTTGGTTGGGGTTTTTTAACTGAGATCACTTGGGCAAAGATCTCTGGATTAGCAGGGTTTTTTTAACTTTTGTGGTTTGCATTCTCCCCAGGAATGGAAGCCTCATCTCTGCTTTGTTGTCAATGGATTTAGGAACACTGTTTCTTTAAGCTCCAGGTTCTATATATGAAATTAATTAGTGAAAGTCATTTTTATACTGTTTCTCCAAACACAGCTACTGAAACATACATACTTTTCTCTAGACCTTTTTGTACTTTTAGTCCTAGGTGAATTATTAGTGTAGTCAGAACTCTGAACAAATACTACACTCTTGCAACAAAATGAAAACCAGTCAACCTAATTAAAAAAAACAAACTTGATAATACTCTGTGCTAGTACACAAGCTGAAGTTCAGAATGAACTGCAGGGAATATTTAAATACTGACTTTAGACAAACCTGACGTTTATCAAGGTTTATGTATAGCCTCAATTCTAGGCGTAGCCTAGAGAATGCAAGATAACATTTGTTCTTAAATATGCTGTGTTCCCAAATGCTTCCAAGAAGTGGCCACAAGAAGTTCACAACAGCTGCTACCCAGGCTAGTCTGAGACTGTGTATGTAATGGAAAATTTGCACCCAATGACAACAGTTAAGAGACATACTGGTTTACATGTGGAGACAGAATATCTTCCAGGAGGGGTTGTGTGTATGGACAATGCACATAAGGTGAAGTTTATTAAGACTGTTGTTTAGTCATTTGTCCTATGTAACTATACTTCAAATCTGTACTGACGTTAAGACTTGGTATTGCAGTACTCAGCAAAGCATTTTTGACTGTAGTGCTGCATGATGTGGGCATGGTGAGGCCCAGGCATCTAGAGAATGCTTTTTGGGAAAACACCTTCTCTGCAGGGCTTCGCAAAGTAACAACAGGTCAGGCAGACTTAACACCACTGCCACCCTTTACTGTCAGTCTCCTTAGCTGCTGCAGTCCTCTAGAACTCGTGTGAATAACCAGAGAAGAAAAACAATCTGGGCTAAACATTTTCTATTGCTTTCTACAAAAGCAATTTTTTTTTTTTGGCTGCGCAAATGATGCGAGTGAATTTCCCTCATTCTCACAGTCACTGCCCTTGCCTTTTAAACAGTAGCATAAAGGAGAGCACAAAATGCACTTAAGCCGCCTCACCTGCAGGACTTGAAGACAATTTCTTGCTTGCTGACATTTTACTTCTGTATAAAATCTTTCAGGTAGCACTGCATCTGTACATGGACAGGTAGGGACTGTTAGGTTCAGCAGAGGAATGTTTTTCTCTGTTTCATACACTTGTATTTGTAAATAAACACTTTGATCAAGTAAAGGTAAAAAACAGTCTGCCTTAAGTAGGTTGGTATGTGCAGAGAGCTCAAAAAACACCATCACACTTTCTCAGTTTGAGGTAACTTGTTACTAAACTGGAACAAATAAACCCTAATGCTTTTCCTTCTATTGCTTTAGATACAGAAGTTGAAACATTCACTAAAACTGGCAGATACACTAATGGCCTTGGGAAAGGCTACCAGCCACTTCAGCGGGTCTGTTGCTGAATTTCCTGAGGAAGTGAGAGACCACCTTACACAGAATCATTTCTTAACCCTTGTGGTAGCAACTGAGGCTACATTTTTGATATCTAATGGTAGATCTCTTTCACATTCAAATAGCAACTAAGTTGTCTTGGCAAAACATAAAAGAAGATCTTTGTCAACAAAGGTCTGCAAAATTTTCTTTAGGTTAGTTCTTAACAAGCAGCTACGGTGCAAATAATTGTCCCACTGCACAAAAGGCTAGTGGTGCTTCCTGTGTAAGATTATTTTTTAAGCTTAAAATGTAGTTGTTTCTCTGTACCCCCCTTTTTCTCTTTTTTTTCTTTTGTACTTGGTGGAGCCTTCCAGCTGTGAAGGAATCTGATACATTAGGGGTCAAGAATGGAGAACTGTGGTTACCAAAAGCTAATATTGGTGTAATTAATTGTTCCACCAGTCTGATCTGTGAGTCCACCCTCGTTCTTCTTCCAGTACTGCATTAGGACAAGGATGCACTCTCTGCACAGGTTCAAGTTCAGTAATTTAGAATCTGCCAAAACTTCCAGGCTCAATTTTCTCGTGCTGACCCAGTCCCATAATACTTGGATTACAGCAGCGGTGGTAAGTGGCACAGGGTAATCCTCCATCATGTTTCTTTGTCTTTCAAGATTTACCCTGAAGTACAGACAGAGAACTCCTCAAGTAGCTTTCAGGTGTATCACAGGAGCTTGTATAGAACTTCATATTTTCTTCAAATAAATAAATAAAATCTATAAAGTAACTGGGTAGAACAGTGGATCAGTTCTGTGTGAAGTCCGGTCTTGCAGCTCTTTAGACAGAAGAACCATGGACTGCGCAGACCCCTTTTTCTCACTGTTCCATTTTGCTCCTGTTCTCAGCATAAGTAGCCAGTCTTTTACCAGTTTGGATCCAAGGTTATGAGGGAGATGTGTATTTTCAGTACTACCTCAAGAATCCTAAGATGGCCTTCTTTGTCTCATGGTAGAAATCCCATAAAACTTGTGGAGATAAAGACAACCTGATGGATGGCTAAAGGTAGCTGATGTTTATACACTATATGATGTTAGGATTTAATAATTTGCAGTGACTCTGTCTTTTGCAGGTTCTGTGGAAGCAGATGCCTAACTCCCACAACTGCAGGAGAGAGGAACCATGGAGCATTGATTACTAAATCACTGTTGATGATACATGATTCCACTACACTAACAACACACATCATTACAAATATTGCCTAGTGTCTAATCTCACAATAAACACACAAACTGCCTTCACCAGGGAACATTCAACTGGTTGATGACTCTTGTGTGCACTGCTGGGGTATTTTGGTATGATCTGAGCTGTGGTAGGATGGCAGCAGAATGGAGGACTTAGCCAGCAGCTGTCTCCTGCTTCTCACCTTTCACAATCTAATATGCTATCCTAGTGCTCCTATTTCTTGTCCCCTCCTTGATCTAGATGTCAGCTTTCTCCAGACCACTGGATTCAGTGCAGGACTGGGGAGAGAGGAGTATCATTTAGGGAACAAAAAGGTGATCTCTTTTGCACTGAAAAATCCCAAATGCCAAATCCCATGATTATTTTACAGCTGAATTCTGTTTGGCTGATGATACTTTCTTCCAGGTAGAGCTGCTAATTTGTACAACGAAAAAACACCCCAAGCCCCAAAGAATTTAACAGTGCATCAAATACAACTTCAATCTGACAATTTATAGTTCTAGGAGGCATGAATATTTTTCTTCCTTCACAGCAATTAATTAACTTTAGAGGAAGGTTAATTACAGGTAGTCAAACTTCCCATTAGCTAAACACTGACTTGCCCAGCTGCTGCCCCTAGCCAGGTGTGGGGTTGCTGCTCAGCACCTCTTGCTCTCACTGGCTCTCTTCTCCTCCCACTGCAAGGTGTGGAGCACAGGAAAATGTACCAAATGCTCTGTTCTCCTTGGCAGAGAGGGCAAAAAAAGCAGAGATAACAGGTCCTAACCTGCATTTCACATTCCAAAGCCTTTCTTCTTCATGTATCAGCGGACATCTGAACAGGGAAGATGCCAGCCTCATCCCACTGGACCATGTCCAAAGGAACATCTAGCAGATCTGCTGCCTCTTTAGAGCAGGTAAGGCAGGGTTATTTGCCGAGCTGAAGACCACATTCTTGCTTGTGTCCAAGTATCCTTCATATGTTTACAACAAATATAAGTAATATTTAAAGTGGCTGATGCCAAATCTTCTGCTTGAGCAGTGAGAGTAGCACAAATAACCACGGCTGTTGCTGTGCAGTCAGGGTGGCCCTGAACACCCCTCCAACACAGCTGGCTCTGCCAAGGCTGCGTGTGATACCATCACATCCACTGCTGGCATTTGAGAGAAAAGGTAGCAAGAGCTACCAAACTTCATTAAAAACCCTAAAATCCTCTGTTGCTGGGCTCACATGCAGAGTAGAACATAAAGTGTAGGGCTTTTTATTGTTTTAAAATTAAACATTCGGTCGAAGTCTTGATTTCCAGACGGTTTTATATACTGTCTGTTTTTATAATTTCTATCTACTGGAGGCTAGAAGGGAACCCATACAGCAACTCGTCTGTGAATTTCACAGAAAGGAGTTAAGAACAATAGGTCTTCAAAATATAAAAAGACAAAACCTTATGGAAGTTAACAACTGGACTAAATATTGATATAGCTGAAAATATTCCCTGGAAAAGAAAATTCATACTGGAATTATATCTGATATGGTGGGAATGTAGAACTGGATGAGTGCTTGGGTAACCTTGGAGAGAAGATTTGCTCTCAGTTTTCCACATATGAAGATGAAGTTAATAAGTGCTCTTCTTCCAGTGCTTTTTTACTTTGTCTGTTTCAGCTTTGGAAGATGGTGGGCGATTCGCAAGAGGATCTGTGAAAGATGATTGAACAATGTTATATAATCAAAAATAACTTTAGGAAGCCTAAGCTAATACTGACAGAACACATAAGAGTAGCCTCATGCATAGGGACAGCCATAAGGACTGGGCTGTCTGGTCCCAAGCAAATGTCACTGGAGATGAGTTTTCAGAGGATCCAGTTCTGGAGCTAAAAATTACAAGAGGTTTCTTTCTCATGTGGATGCAGATGATGAAGGAACAAAGAGCTTCAGTTTGAGGAGAGGGTTGAGCCCCATGTCTCAATCCATGCTTATTCCACCCCACCCATGATGTCCCCAGTCCAGGGCTGGTGGGGAAGCCACTCCTTGCTGAGCACCCCTGCAGTGTCTGCAAGCTGCACATTGCAGAGCACTCAAACACCAAGACATTTAAAAAATATTACAGAACCCACGTTTTAATATTCCCTTAAACTTCTACAGTTTAGCACATCTTTGATTGTACCACAGAGTTAATTTAGGCCTTCAAAGGCAGAGAAACCTGAGATCTTAACTGCAGAAATCAGAGTCACTCGGGACAGTGATTATCCCTGGTTTAATCAAAAAGCAGTTGTACAGCCCAGTCCAGAGGCTGACCATACAGTCTAAACCTCCCACCAGTAGCACCCAAGTGGGTTTGGCTCACTCCCCACCACTGATGACCCCCCAGCTCCCCACTGTCAAACAGAGGTCCCTGGGCTGCAGCTGTTCCCCACCTTGAAATCTGGGGGACTGCTGTGGGCAAAACCTGGGAGCTCCTCTACCTACCACCAGCCCTAGGAAGGACAGAACATTCTCCCATCTTGCTGCTGCCAAAATAGTCTCCTGTTTCTCTGCTGCCAAAGCTGGGGGTTGAGGATTGCTAAGCTTGAAGACCTCCTGCAGCTGAGCACTGACTGATGCCAGCCAGGAGCACCTTGGGGATTCCCCATCCTTTGCCCTGCCAGTCCCAGGTAGAGAGGGAGAGAAAAGTGCTCGGTCAGAGATTCAACAGTTCCATCACCTGCTCTGGGGCAGCTTCCAAATCCACCAACCACACTGTGCTGCAAGCCCAGCTGCTCCAGTGGCTGTCTGAGCAGGTAGGATTGGAAGTAACTGGTATTGTGTTTGGGCTGTGGGGAGCAGAAGTATTTGGAAAGCTTGAATTGTGGCCATCTTGTTGTTTGAGTCCTTTGGAAAGAAGGTGCTACTTGTGCTCCAGATTTTCTTTTTAAATGACCAGAGGAGTCCAGAAATGAATGAATAAAAAAGTTAATTTTTTCCTCATGAGGGTCCCTGGTGCCCATCTCTGACAGGGGAGCACAGAGAAAGAGAATCTATGTCTGCTTCTGTCCCCTTCCATCTGTGCTTAACCCCTGCCTTGCCATGCCTCCAACCTTTTCTTTTTAGTTAGAGAAAGATATTTCTGCATTGCACCTGTGAGAAAGACTCGGTGGAGCCTTCACTCAAGGCACAGCCATGCTGCAGCGCAGCAGGGGCTGCAGGCAAGCCTGCACAGAGATCAGCCAGAATGGGAGCTTGGACCCCACACCTGGGCACTTCCCAGGTGAAACAGCAGGAGATGGTTTGGCACCTCCACGTGTACCTCGAGATGAGCAAGGTGCTGCTGCTCTCCGTGCCTGTGTGCGTCTCAGCTGTCTCCAAAAGCAGAAAAGCAGAGGTGCTCACTCAAACCCTGGTGTGGTGACACAACCAGACCAAACACTGTTCAGTCAGCACACCTGAAATCCTGAGGGGAGAGAAGAGTGAAATCAAGAGGCAGATACCTGGCTAGAATGTATCAAAAACTCAAACTGAGAAAACTTTGAAAGAAATAATTTTACCTGAGCTCCCAAACTGCAAAAAGAAACAACTTTTCTGGGAAATAGTGGATTTCCAGCTATTCACAGAGGAAAACTTCATTGCCTGTTGGAACTGCACAACCAGGAATGCAGAAGCAGCCTCTGCCTGCCTTTTTGTTTTTTTCTTTGTGACTTTTGCAACTCTTCTTTGACTAAGAATATTATTAATCAATTTCATTCACTAATAGGAGCAGATAGCTGGGCAATTGCTAGACCTGTGAAGGATATGCCTGTTTTTTAAATGAACACCCACAGTGGGCAGATTACTTGCTTATTTCTTCCTTTAGCATCTTCAAAATATTTTTTCACAAGTGAACATTTTACAGTTCTCAGTTTTTCCGATTCCTGTTGTGGCCACTGTGTAGTGTCCGACTTTCAGGAGCATTGTAAGCTGCCTGGGAAAGGAGAAAGTGGGCAAGAGAACTCTAATGCATAAGAGGGGTAAGTAAGCAAATATAGTGAGAATTAAGTACAGAGTAGGGCAGGGGTATCCACAGTAGGGGAAGTGTGGAGGAACCAGTCAAATGAACAACTTTACTAAAATTTGGAGAAAAATGAGCAACCCAAAACTTATCTAAAAGCAAAACCTTTGTTTTCTAACCATGAACCTATCCCTCTGCAAGGGATCCTGAGCCCAAACTCCATGGAGGAATGAGTAGAAGAGCTGATTGTTTTGCACTAACTTGCCTCAGAACACTGGTGTTCCAAAGCAGAAACGTAACTTTGAGGAGATGGAGAGTTTTAACATCAGCTTTGGAGCTGGGAAAGAAAGCCAGTGTCAGAGAAAGGTTTTGTTTGATGAGACAGGCACCACAAAGATCTGAAGGAGGCAGATCTACAGACAGTGCCCCGGAGAAGACTCCTGCAGTAAGGCTGGAGATGAGAATTAGGTTATTGACGGAGGTACATGAACTGCCCCTTACTGATACAAGTCACCCAAAAATTTTTATTATTGCTCCACTTTGGCACAAGGAGAAAAATAGTGACTTATTTCCCCTACTGGGTAGTCAGAAACCCCCTGACAATCCAAAGCAATTGGGACTCCTCCTTACTGGCAGGGGGAGACAGCAAAAGTGAGTGGGGGAGCAACTCCTTGTGTCACCAGGGGCAAGACCTCAGCTTTTGCTTGTCTGAATAGGACCAAAGTCTGCTCCAGCCTGGATCCAACCTCTCTGATCTTTTAAAATACATCTTCATCTTTTTTTCTTGACCAGAACTTCAGGTAATATCTGTTTTTTAAGGAAATTTTAATGGCAGCTTCCTTTGTCTTGGAACAGGTGCAGATTCTTAAATTCCTGTGGCAACTGTTAGTCTGCTGAAACAGAGGTGATAAAATGAGAAAGCAGGAGGAAGAGCAGGATAGGGAAGAGGAGGATGGGAGCAGGAATGTATCCATTCCACAACTCCATACACACTCCAAGCATTTAAGGTAACTTTTTTTGGATAGCCATGTATTGTTACACTAATAAAACCATTCCCTATGTTAATTTTTTTGGCAGAAGGCTGAAGAAGTAGAACACTGCCTCAGGAGTGCTCTAGCTGTTGAGTGCTGTG